TTCAGGTTCTCTTCGTTCATGGGTCCGCGCAGGCACCCTGTCATGTTCCTCCTCCCTGCTCGCGGCATGTCACGCTTTCTCAAAAACCCTTCGCACAACACCACTGCGCGATCTATGAGCCACGACGCGCGCGGGAGAAAGCTTTTGCACTGCGTCATGTCGTCTTTCCTCTGACAATGTGCCAACGGTGCCACGCGCTGCAAACGCTTGCTCCACTGGTGCACGTGGTTCTGTCGAAACTCCTGCCCCTTTTGCACCCAGACGCCGAGGTGCTCTTGCAGCCAGGTTCGCCCTTCCTCGTTGCCCTTGTCTCCGTCTCCTGTTTTCCCATTGCCGCTCGTTGATTCCCTACCGCCGCCTTCCGTCTCTGCAAACCCATTCGTCTGGCCGCTGTGTAAGTACTCCGGCGCTGCGACCAGCTCTGTGGTCTCGCGGCACGTGGGCCATGCCTTCTCCACCTCCGTTTTCCTACCCCTCCAGCCTTCTACGTCGGAGTAGTCTTGACGACTCGCGTTTCGCTTGTACCTCTTGTACTCTTCTACCAGCCCCTTCAGAACATCTGTCGGCAGCTGTAGCAGTTCGTGCAAGGGGGCATACTGGTGCAAACACTGAACGAAGACTTGCACTTGCACTTGTACGTGCCAGGGGCCCACGAAAGCGGCGACAGTGTCGCAGATCGCAGCCCCCCAAGGACGGCGACGTGCCCTGATGGCCTGCATGAGACAAGCCTCCGTCGGGCCTCCCATGAGCCCACAAGAGTGGCGCCGATTTCGCAGAACACAGCCCCCCAGGGCCAAGGAAGTCTTATGATAACCTGGGCGCGGCACCATTCTGGTGGGCCTCCGCATCCTCTTGGTATCCAGCGCACACGGGGCAAGAAGATTGGAGGGCGGGAGAAGGAGGTGCACGCCACAATGCTCTACTCAAAACAAGTACCTCAACCGCCAGACGGTCGGGTAGAAAGAGCGAGCCACATGGCTCCACTCCACCCCTACGGAATTTCAGGGGGCAGACGTCGAAACCAAGGTTTGCGGAAGTTCTCGCTCACTCCTGGGGATGATGTCGCCCCGGAATGCTTTCCAACAGAGTGCGTCGCCGAGCGCGTTCGAAGCGGATCTGAATCGGGGCGCGCGGCTGCTGCAGCCCGAGGTCTGACCCGAAAACCATCAGTCACACAAGTGGGAAGAAGAGTGATGGGGAGGGTGTAAAATAAAGCGATCTGGAAGAAGCAGGTCATCTGTGGATACCTCTTCTATGGCTGGGTGCGTCTTCGACCTTTGGAGGGGTTGCTTGGGGCGAACTTGGGATCCTTTTGAAGACTTGCGGGCTTTCCTTCGGCTCGCTGCCCGCGCCTTCAAATTCTGAAGAAGCGCTGTTGAACAGCTTCGGCACCACCGTGCAACATATCTGCAATCGTGCCCCCTGGCACGTTGACGCGTGCTAAAATGCCAAGTTCTGTCTGGTAGGGATTCTGTAACCTTGCTAAGGGCCCCCTGCCCTCCTGGCACGCACGCAAGCCCATGCACCGCCCCCTGTTTTCGAAGCTCTATCAGTGCCCAGACACGTCCCTGCCGCTCTCCAAAGCGTCCAAGACGCCCAGGATGGCATCCCACACGGACCTGGGGGGCTACCAAAGCCGCCAAGATGGCCCACGATGCCTCCGAGACGGCCCACGAGGCCCCAAAAAGCCCCAACGGCGCTCCAAGAGGACCCCCAAGAAATCCCCAAGAGGGCCCAAGAGACAAAAACACATGATTTTCATTATGTTTGTCAATGTTTATCACGTTGTCGCCTTTTTCGAGTTCCGACACTCCAAGACAGCTCCAGGGGCCCCCAAGAGCGCCCCGCGATGGCCCGAGAGGCTTCCGAGAGGGTCTCTAGACGTCCCAGGAGGGCCTCAGAAGAGCCTCACAGGCGCCCATGACACGCAACATTGCCCCCAGACAGGCCCAAGAGAGGCCCAAGAGGGGGAACATACACCGACAATTCGATCCTTCTGCCCGAAGAGTCCCCCAGGAGGCCCCAAGAGGCGTCCGAGAAGCCCCAAGGGGGCCCCGAGAGGCCCCCAACAACCCCCAAACAGCCCCAATGAGGCCGCAAAGCTGCCTCCAATGAGCTCCCGGGAGTCCTCCCACGATATCCCAACGAACATCCAAGATGCTTCCGGTACCCTCTCGAACAATCGCCACCGAGCCTGGTGGACTGCCACGGTGGCGGGATTTGCCGCAGGCAGCTGGATTAAAGTGGGCCCCCCTCTCCTGGAAATCTCTTGGACCCCCTGGGCCGCTTTGGGGGGCCAAGTGCAGTCCTCTGGAACCCTTCTTGGGGCCCCCGTGACACCTTTTGGCTTCAGCCGAGCTGGGGCCCTTGGAGTGAGACCAAGGACTACTCCGCGCCGGAGCCATCTTTTTGAGCAGCCTTGCAGACTCTCAAAGACCACAAAGACCCGAAGAGAGCACGGTGGCGGTCTGGGCCGAATCAAAGCCACCACATGTCGCCGCCGCTTACATGCTGCGAAGCCCGTCTCTCATGGGTACTGGGGCACGTGGCGACGGCACCTGGCTCTCATGGGAGCTCGAAACTGCCGCGCAAAGTTCGGCACCGGCGACAACAGTCTGGCACCTTTTCGACTTCTGGACGGCGCCTGGCGACTGAAGATGGCTGCCAGTATGCGTCCAAGTGGCCGCAGAGACCCCCAGAGAGGAGTCGAGAGCCCATTACTCCGTCTGTTCACTGCCGCAACCTACTCATCATACTGATCGATCATCTCTGATCCATCATCTTGCGACTCCTCCCCCATTCACCTCCTCATCACCATGATCATCGTCGTGATCATCATCACCGTTATCACCGCCACTGCCGTCATCAGCATCATCATCATCACCATCATCCGCGAACTCCTCGTCATCGTCTCCCCACTTCATCCATCCTCATCGTCCTGCTCATGATCACCATCATCGCCAGCATCATCAGCATCATCATCACCGTCATACGCATCATCATCATGAGCATCCTCGTCATCATCGTCGTCTGGAACGGCTCGTAGACATGCTACTGTGCTGACCTTCTGAGACAGGATGGCGGGTGGGAGTGAGGGAGACGGCCAGCAGGCGGAATGGATAGCTTGACCCCTGCCCGCCCGCTAGCCGTCACGCTCACTTTTGGCGTAACCATCTCCCCCTTGCCAATGGTCGTCGAAGCCTCAAGATAGCCTGAAGAGCACCCAGGGGGAACCGAAGAGGGGCTCAGGTGGCCCCAAACCAGGCGCAAGACCGCCCCTAGAAGGCGATGCGTAGGCTATCGACGGGCAGCCCTGGTTGCAGCTCCCCCTCCTCGCTCAATGTCGTACATGATCGCCCCAAGAGGGCCAACGCGACCCCCAGAAACATTGCAAAAACAAACCTCAAGAGGCGCCGAAAACGCACCAAAGAAGCTACCAAGAGGCAACAAAGGGGCCCGAAAGGGTCCCCCCGAGCTGCCAAGCGGCTCAAAATGTCACCTGAACCGCGGAGAAGTCGCCAAGATGCCTGAGTAGGCTCCCCGAAAGCCCTCAAGAGATGTCCCAAGAACCTCCATGCATCCAGTAAACCACTGGCTTTTCTGTTCGCCAACCTCCTCTTTGTGTGCCTTCTCCCCTTCCCTCTCTTTTCTCCCTCCTCCATCACCTTCCCGCTTCGAATGATAACGGCTGCCCCTCCTTGCTCCCGCACTTGCCTGATCGCGCCAACTCGTATGGGCATCGTTTCTAGATGAGCTGGTTGGGGCACGGGACGCGTCAAGCACTTCTCCAATTGCTTTCCACTCGTGTCTGACACTGTCATGAATGTGGCCCCAGCCAGACTCCTGCCCCCCCTTTGTCCCATCAGCTCTGGGACACCGCTTGCTGAAAGAGATCAACGCGCTCACCGCATGCGAGACGTGAGACAGCGCTCCCCGCACCGCCGACCCCCAAAACGGACCGTGCCCAAAACGGAACGGGAAACCCTGTCGCAGAAGGAACGAAATGTTTGACCAACAATTTCGCGCCTGTGCCTTGATCAATGAGAACGGGCCAAGCGCCGCCTCACATCACAAGACACACTCGACCCGCGTCCAGCCAAGGCAACGAATGCCCCCGACAACGCGACAAAACCTGTCGCGGGGGCCCGTGGCCCATACTGTCAATCTTTGCCTCCTGCTCATCCCTCCTCCCCCTCCTCCTCCTCCACCTCATCATCGTTCCTCCTCCTCCTCCTCTTCCTCCTCCCCCTCCCTCCCCCCTCCTCCTCCTCATCCTGCTGCTCTTCCTCCTCCTCCTCCTCCTCCTCCTCCTCCTCCTCCTCCTCCTCCCTCCTCCTCTTTCTCTTCCTCGTCATCCTCATCCTCAAACTCACCCTCATCTTCATCCTCCCCATCATCATCATCACCACCACCATCATCATCACCATCATCTTCCTCATCGTCGTCGCAATTGTCATTAACGTCGTCATCATCGTCATCATCAGCAGCATCACCATCGTCGTCATGGTCGCCGTCGTGTCAGCAGGACCATCCTCGTCACCTGGCAACACACTACCCGAAAAACTCCGACCATGATACTCCACAGTACTCCCGGACGGCATCCGCCGACACCCTTGAGATGTCACCGGCGTGCAACGTACTGCCCCGACTCCACCACCCGAAAAGCCCCAAGGACGACCACGGAACCCTCGGAGAGAACCCCCAAACACCCCGTGCATGCCTGATACCCCCCGCGACAGGGCCCCCCAAACGGCGCCCATGCGCGACGGCCCGCCCAACAGCACCCGAACACAGTTCAAGGTCACCACCTGAATCTTTCCCGCAGCTTGCAAAGAAGCCGTGATAACGACCACGCGGCGAAAAAAAGGGGTCGGCGGATGTGGCGTAAGCCTATAGAATCAACACTAAAAAAGCCAAGCAGGGCAACCAGCAGCCGAGGAGGAGACCACGGGACCCCCTCTGGGAGGCCGGGCTCAGACGAGGCCCGCCGTCCAAGCGTCCTCCGGCTCCGCGCGGCGGGCGCTGGGGCGGCCGCCCGCGCAGAAGCCGGGGTAGGACGCGGGCGCGCCGCGCGGGCGGAGCAGCGCCCGCCCTCCGGGGGCCGTCTCCTGGGGCGCCGCAGAGGCGTCCTCCTCCTC